AGAAACCAATTTTCCCTCATAAACATATGAGCTACCACAGGTACAGGAGCTCACACCTATTTTAAAATATGGGGACATGGTTAGACAGAGCAAAGCTTGGTCTCTTCCTCCTCGATCCCAAACAATTTATTTCCTTTTCTGGAGGAGTGGAAACACCTCTCCAGGGAGCACAGAGAATTTATCAGCAAAAATGGGCATCTCTGGCATCTCACAGAAATGGATGTACTGAGATGTGGAATGGGTGGGAAAGCTGGAAGAAAATGCCAATCCTAGTTTACCCAGAGAAGCTCCATGTCATTAGAGCAGACTGGGCAAGGGGACAGGAAGGCAGCTTTTTTGGTGGGCACCTGGAAAGCAAAGAAGTTTTTGCAGATACACAGCCAACCCAGGGCTCAACAGGGCAGTGTTTATTGTAGTGGATGTATTCTGAGTTATTTTGAAAAGAGCATCGATGAGCATACCATTAGCTTGAAACTGAGGTGTTTTTTTTTAATAGTGATACCAGGAATGTGTACCATAGCAGCCTTTTTCTGTTGTACAGATACAATGAGAAATGTCAGTCAACTTCCCCTCTTAACAATATCTTTTAGAGCCCTTTTCCAACTTGGCTGCTTATTGTCCCTGTAGCCCAGTAACCCACATCTCCTCTCTCTGCCACACAGTTCTTAATGCCACATCCATATGGATTTCCATTCCCTAAATTAATTATAGAAATGTCTATTCAATTAAATAATTCATATTCTCATTAATCTAGTTTATTACAGAATATTTTATAGCCATTAAATTCACTAACAAAGAACTCATAATTTTGGAGACAGCTCCTGTGCAATATCTCATACTATGAGAAGGTGCTGCATTTAGACATACATAGACAGGTGCTGCACTTCATATAATTAGCAAAAAAATTCTGTGAAATCATTGCAAATCCCATTTCAAAACAGGGGCTTGAAAAATCTTAGTCATAATACCTTAAAATTCAAATCTACACTATAAATCCCTGCTTCTAGTTCTTTTCCCCTCAACAATCATCTTTTTACCCACCAGCTGCTGCATGTGCTTGGGCAGCTCTGCTCAGAGATGATCTGCCCCCCAGGTTTCCCCACCCACACTGCTCTGAGCCCCCAGCACTGCAGCAAATAGGAAAAGCTGCAAGGAATCAACACCTTGTTAAATATTTAGGTGTCTCTTTTATGATTACATGAGTCTTTCTGTTTCTCATGTTAAGTTTGCTTTGCTTGGAAACTGGTTTTCAGATATTTCCGGGAGCATTGACATCTCCTCTATCCCCTCCAGTGGCATAACCTCACCCCTGCCTGTTGTCTGGGATGCACTGCTCATTGCCTTTCCAATAATTTAAATCTCTTCCCTCTATAATCATGGTAGTTAAGTCTTTGTTTGGCTTGTGCTTGTGTTGAGGATTCTGTGCCGTTTTTGAAAGGCGTCACAGCCTGGGAATCGTAATGGAATTGAGCAGTTTAACTCCAAGCTATTTTATGGGGAATTTTCAGCTGGCATGTCGATAAGGCTTTGCCAGCTGGAGTCCAAAGGCTGTGCCTGATTTCCTGGCAATAAAGGCCATTGCACTCGCCTTCATCTTTCTTGGAGAGCACGAAAGAGAGACTGCGAGAGCAGAAGCTGCTCCCCTCTCTCACTGGGAGCAGAGGCACCATGTGCTGCCTTCCTGATGCCAATGCTCTCTGCTTTAACTGGCTCTGTGTTACACACTGCATGTCTTTGTGCATCTGACAAATTATATGACAGGTTACAGATTATTCTAATCTGCCCTTCTACTCTTCTGGTAGCTGAGAAGGGAGCGCCTACCGTATGTGCTGTGTTATCCTAGCTTGTGTATCCAACCTTGTTTATCTGTCGCCTTCACACCTTATGGTATTCTGTGATTCAAAACTGGTTTACTGTTAACTGTTTACAGTGATTTGAATGAGATAGACTTGTCAAACAGGCAGGAAAAAAGGTTTAATTGCTAATTTCCTCTGGTCTCCTGGGGCTGGATCTCTAGGATTCCATTAAAGTGATTAAGGAGAGAAGTAAATGGCACATGTGAAATGACTTGTTTCCTGGCTCTCCCAGCAATTGTCCTTGTTGCAAGTTGACACCACTGAATGCCCCAATTTTCATCCTTTCCTATCCCATTTTTTTCTCTCAGCAGTAGAGATGGACAGAAGGGATGAGTTGTGTTTCAGAATTACAGACGCAAAAGGCTTTTGTGCAGAGAACTGTCTGCTGCATTGCTGATGTTTGGCACTCTTTTTGTACTTGTTTTACTGTTACAGGAAGTACTTCACCCTGCAATATCATCCCACATCTTCCTCTATAAGATCTTGTGAAAAATTTACAGAAACAGACTTTGTCTCAGCGGTCAGGCATTCCTTCCTTAGAAACCTGGCAGGATGGAGAGCAGCGTATGCAGCCTGTGCAGGGCAGGGTGTTCTTTGGCCTTGGAATGAGTCACAAAGCCTGATTTAAAGAATTCATGCTTAGTAATGTGACAGCTGTGATGATGGGTCTGCAACAAGGAAACAGCTAAGGGACATGTTAAATCATATGGGGAAAAGTAGATCTTGGCTGCAAATAAGTGTGTTGGTTTTCACTCATTTTGATGAAATGAAAGCTGTGTTGACCTGTTACATTTGTTCAACACTAGACTCCTAGTTGGTGAATCAGTACTGTAGATTTAGAGTCAATGAGGCAATTCACAGCTATATCTGAAGATCTCAAAAAGAGGAGGCGACAAGAGTAATGTGGATGAATGACATGGTGAGAACCTTTTTTAAAAAATGCTCTAGTTGAATTGATTTATGCAGTAAATTACATTAACCCACAAAATTGGCATCATGCAGCTTTCCCTTTCGAAGAAAGCTGAGGAAAGAAGCAAGGTGAGAACTCTGAACAAATAGCTCTTCTACCTAGTCTTGTGTCTGATGCTTTCTGTCCTGTATGCTCTACCATTTGATTTATGGTGTTTTGCAGTCAGTTTCTGAAGCGTGTAAAGGGTCAGAGCAGCTGTGGCCAAGAGCAATAACTTCTCTCTTTCTCTGCATGATTGCCTGCCTGTCTTTTAGGAGTTTATAATAGAATATATAGGAATATATTCTATTATATATAAATACATTCTACATATATCTAAAGTCAGAACTGAGCAGCAAGCAGTTGGTCTGGCTGGAGATGCACGTGGATCTGCTTATGGAAAGCAGGGCTGGGAGACAGGTAATCTTCCATATCCCATTTTCTTCTACACCAGTAAAGCTGCTGTTGCAGGTGTTGTTTTGCTCATCTGCTTATTGTGAGTCAGTGATTTTGGACTGGAAAATTCTGATGTTGGGCCTGAATTTGAAGTTCATAATTCAGCTTTTTATTTTTATGCTGCTACTTGGATGCCCTGGTGTTTTAATGGAGTTGCATAAATGCTGTGTATCCTGGCTGCCCAAGAAGAAGAATCACATTTGTGTGAACTTCTTATAGATCTGTAAAGAAAGTGCAGACTTACTATCTCTTGTGTCTTTGACTTTGTAGTTTCAATGTAGATTTCTTACTTCATCCATAATCAGATACAGATAGATGAACAGTGTGCAAGTTTGATGCCGTGCTGGGTTAGGCACTCTGGCACTATGCTAGTCTGGAAACCACCACTGGAAGTAGCTAGGTCAAAATATGCTTGGGCACATTTTTTCCCTCTGAAAACCCTGCAGATATTCCTCCAGTGACTACAAAGGTGTGCTACCCAGATGTGACCTTACCCTACTTATGTATAGCAGAGTGTAAAACCTGAGGAGGAACTAAAGAATGCTATTGCACTACAGAAGATATTTCAGATTTCCTGGCCAAAATTTCCTACAGGGCCTGCATGTACTTTGTAAGCAAACTGGGGCTTTCTGCTGAGCCCCAGCCCACAGGAAGAGTAGAGCACGCTGAGGCAGTGTTCACACAGCCTGAGAGAAAAGCACATACAGGAATGTAATTAGCTCATGAAAATAGTTGTCACCAGTACAATATGATGTTTCTCAAACTAGACTATGATAGGAGGCTGAATACTAGGGTTAAAAAAAACCCCAACAAACAAAGAAAAAACACAACTAGCTTGTTTTAAGTAGATTTAATGCAAAATTAAGGTAAAGCCTAAGGAACAAAGCTCTTAAACAGTTATTATGTTTTATGTATTCTTTGATTCATCCCTGCCCCGAGAAATTAACCCATTCTTGACAGTGGTCAACAAGAAAATCATGGTACTTCTTTTTAATAGATGGGGGGGATAGTATTTTGAAGCTGCATTATTTTTTCCAGTCACTGGTGGAAGTAAAAAGGTTACTTTCTTTCCTGGTTGACTTCTTTATTTCTTGTTCCTGTCTTGTACGTTTTGTGGTTTTGATGTGCTTTTTTTGGTGTAGCTTTGAAAATTTCAGTGTCTCAAGGAAGAAATGCTTGGTCAAATTCTGTCCTCAGTTACTTGGGGAGAAAAAAGCCAGAGAAATGTATTGACTTTGCTGATATAAAGCTGGAGTAACCCATTGAAGTAACCCAGTACGAACCAACAGAAACGTACCCTGTTCTCTTTGTTCATTTGTAAATTGACTTGTTTAGTTATGAGGCCACATAACTAAAACACAGCTGTTTGTTTTCAATTGCTTTTAATTCAAGGCAGAGGATCCAGCCCCTTCCAAAGTGAGGTGACCAAAGCAGTGTTTGTCTTTTGGTAAAACGCTCAACACTGCGATATAAAACCTATAACCGCTGCAGTGTTACGCTCTGGCTTTGCAGAATTATCCTTCCTGTTGGTCCAAGTGTTTGGCTGCATATCCTTAAGCCCGAGAGCAGAGGTTTGGGCGCTCCGGGTGCTGCTCGCTCTTTGACCCCGCTCATTCCTCCCTCCTCCGAGCGAGCGTGCGCTCGCCTGCCGCGTCCTCAGCCCCGCGCCGCTCTGTCTTCTCATCCGCAGACAAGAAAAAGGCAGGCAAATTCCAGCCTTTCAAGAAGCTCTTCGGCAGGAGGAAGAAAAGAGAGCCCGCCCCGGAGTGTGAGGAGCCCAAACTGAAGCCCAGCCACTCGTTCGGCAACATCTGCAACGGCGCCTTCTCCTCGGATGAGGAGCCGGGCAGCGGGCTGAGGTGAGTGCCGCCACACCTGCCGCCACATCTGCCGCCACACCTGGCTGCCACCCCTGCACACACACCGCTTGTCCCCCCTGCTTCTCGTGGAGCCACATTCAAACTCTCCCTCTGCTGAGCGGCAGCATTTGTACATTGCTCGCTGTGGAGCGTGTGCGTCTCTCCTTCCTCTGAGCGTGACACCTGCTGCTTTAGACCTCAGTGTCACTGCTTAAGGGGCATGTGTGCTGCTCTGCAAATAAGAAATCCCAGGGGAAAGCAGAAATGAATTTGAATCCAGCTCTGTGATTTAACGGGTGAACACCTGAGCAGAGGTATTAATGGCATCCCTGTTTTTAAAACTGGGAAAGGAGAAACTTTAACTGGCTGTTACAGATACTTCATTGCACACATTTCCCTGCAACGTGGTATCTTTTGGCTGAGACAGACACATCCTTTTTCACTCTATCCAAAATAATTTTTGCATTGTAATTGGGGTCAATGAACAGGCTGCTTTTATTTTGAACCTATTTGAAGGTAGAGTAGAAGAAGGAAGAGAGGGGAGAGAGGCACCTGAAAATCAGATCATATTCCAATGACAACAGAAGATGACAGCAGGACAGCATGATAATTTTCTGTGGGGATGGTGGGAGTAAGAAACTGTACAGAGTAAACAAGTCAGCAAGTCTCTAACTAGGAACAGGAAAAAAAACCCCAAACCAAACAAAACCAAACAAAACCCAAAGAAACTCTTACCCCAATAGCAACAAAGCCACAAGACCTGACTCCAGTAGTTTGTGCATCTGTAATACTTATTTCATTTTCCAACTGGTCCTCTCAGAGAGGTTAGCTGACTCCTGATCAAAGCCTGGTGTTTTGGAAGAAAATGAGATATTTGCCCTGGGGAGTGTATCTGAAAGTGAAACAAAAAACTCTGAAAGGGTAAAAAAAAATTCCAAATTCCTCTGCTCAAGAATGAAATGTGTATCAGAAGCGTCACCCTGAACACTATTTCTAATGGTGCCTATGAAACCATGACTTTTTAAATTATTTGTGGGATTTTTTTCTTTTGGGTTTTTATTCCATTCTGTGAAATTCCTTGAGTACTAGGTTACCTTTTGGTTTCCGTGGTGTAAAATTGTACACCTTTTTTTCTCATCCCAGGTTTTTCAGAAAATCAGTACTGATCATAGACACACTATAGCTGGAGGTGTGCCTGACCACTGCTGCAATGCATTACCTGTGTGCACCATGCCAAGCCAGTGTAGGAGGTTTTAGTGCCTTTTCCCTCACAAGCAAACTAAACAGCGTTGCCTCACTATCAGGGATTTCCCATTTGGCATAGCTGAAAATGCAGTGCTGCACCCAGAAACAAACAGTGATATGGGAACTTGTCCTGGTCCTCAAAAGGGACATGAAGGTGTGGCAGACCTTGTTTGAGACTGTTAAATGTTTGCGTTTTTAAATCTGCTAATTCTTCTAATTAACAAAAGCATTAAAGTTAGCCTCTGGTGGCTAAAAATCAGACTGTACAAACTAAATAAGAGGGGATTAGTAAATGTAAAGGGTCCCATATCTCATCTCAAGTGGAACATTTCTTTCTGTGATTCCCGAGAGGTTTTAGCCTGCTAGAAATACTCAGTCAAAGCTCTGTTTTTCCTGTCAAGTTTCATGGTGCAAATGTGGGTGGGATTTGATGATAATTTTCAGTTTGCAGGTAGTTTTTGCCACATAACTCATTTTACAACAAGCATAAATGTCCAGTGCAGTGCATTAGATTGCTTTGGAAAATTAGTTCTGCCACTCAAATCGGTTTTCAACATGTCTTGCATCCCCTATATTTTTTTTAGCCTTTACTGTATTTTCAAACATTTATGAATTGAATGCAGAGATAGGCTGTCTAACTAAAACAATACACATAGTTGTTTACAAGTTGTATAACAGTGAATGCATTGCCATACTTTCCACTATTCATGCAGAAATGGACTAGAGCAAATACAAATAACTAGTAGTATATTTACATAAGCAAAACCCTGAGAAATTTTGTAAAACCATTTGCTTCAAATTCTTTAAGAATGTACAACAATCGTATATTTAAAAAAGCTTAATAGAAGTTCCAATTTTGCAATAAAAGCTCAGGGATGTTCCCATTCCTTTAATAAGCTATATTTCTTCCTCAGCCTGCAATGTATATGAATTTGTTCTCTACAGATGTGTCCTGTGGACGTTTAGCTTTGTTTTGGGGAGAGCAGATGGTGGTTTTGAAAATACATTAAGAGAGGAAGCTGCTTCAGGAAGGTAGAAACAAGCAAATGAATGAGTGTAGGCTAAAGAAGACATCTGTATTGCTTCCAAGACCTAAGCTAGTATTTCACTGAGTGCTGTATTGGCTTACAAGCCTGCTCACAGCTAACACCTGAATCTCTAATGGAGACTGTGCTGCTGGGTGATGCACACATGCCCAGAGCAATTTAGGTAATCTGCATGTGGTGTAGATTGACTAGCTGAGTTGGAAGCAGCCTGAGAGATCTGCCTGTCCATCCTTTCTTACATCCTGGATTCATCAGATGCAAATAACTTGCTTGGTATCCTGATATATGCACACTTCAACCTCTTTATTCATCTATGTTGTTTTGCAATACCCAGGTGGGAGGATTCCTGCTGCAGTTTGTCTTGCTGGAATTCTTTTTCTCATTTCTATATTGCCCTTCTTGAGTTTACAAAGTTAAAACTGTATTCATTAACTTTCTGTCCAAACCATAAGGGCTGGGAGGTAGAAGTACTGACTACAAGAAAGCTCCACAAGTTTGTGGAATTTCACTGAAACTTCTGTTCTGAGGCTATGATTTGGCACATTAAAAGATTTTATATTTTTCTTTTTTGTCACAGTTGACAAATACTCAACTTCTGAGCAAGCACTGAGAGGACAGACCTGAAAGGGTACCTGTGCAGTGCCCTACTAAAGTTTGTCATTCTGGCTTGATGTGCAGAGGCAGTGGAGAATTAAATTTCTCTTATTGGGGGTACAGTAGAGTACCTTTTCTTAGGCTGAATGCACTATTTCAAAGGACCTGGAATTAGACCTGTCAGGTGTTTAGGACTCAAGTATGACTGTATTGACCTTCCAGGGAAAAGTCTCTGAGCAAACTTCAGTGTCTTGACAATGCCTCCCACAAATAAGATCCCTTTACTTGCAGTGTTGGGCAGTTCTGTGGGAAGCAATCTAGATCAACAATAAAAAAAAAGTGATCTGTCTACCCACTTGGAGAGCTCCCAAGAAACTTTCAAAGAGCTCCTAAAAAACTTTCTCTCTGTCTCATCCAGTTTTCATACACTGGGCATCTCTTTTTCTGTGTATTAACTGTATTTCTGCAATTGGTTGTTTGTCAGTCCTAATTTCCTTTCTAAGTGCCTCATTTTGAGTGCCTTCTTGACTCCAGTGCAAGTGCCTTGTTGCCGTGGTATTTGGTGTCCACCTTCTCCTGAACGTTTTGTCTTATCAGGGCTCTGATTTAAGCAAATATCTCTTCAAGCCCAAGCAGAGCAAAGCAACATAGAGATATTGTAAAACTTTTTCTTTTAGGAAAAAAAAATCTTTGATTTTCCTTACTTGTATCAGCTGACATGCATACACCTGGAAAAAAAATTCTAATTTCAGGGTTATGAGGTATGTTGAGGATGTTCCAGGACAGAAAAGGCTGCAGTTTTCTCTTTGCATGGATTTTTAAAAATAAATTTATTACAGGTTTTGGTGAAATTAGGGTTGTTTCTCCCTTCTTGTAATTTATATTGCAGCCGAGTAGCACAGAAAGAGGAGCCATGGCCACCCTATGAATGGCCATTCTGATGTGTACTCTGTAGCATGTGGCCAGAGCAGAGGAGTAGGGAAAGCCTTCCTGAAGTGGTTCCTGGTGTCTTGAGAAAACATAAGGCTAACATCACACTCAGTATTTCTGCTGACCTTAGCTTTTCTTGACACCTCAACTCTTGACTTCCTCCCTTCCATTAGGAGCTTACTGAAGTCTTTGTGCTCCAGAAGCTTTCTTCTCAGGTCTGTGATCTAGGACTTTTTACTACTTGCTCCAATTTTATCACTTAGTAGAAATTTGCAGTAAATGCCATTATCTTGCTTTTTGTTTTTCCAGCTCCCACTTGAGTACCAAGGCACCTGCAGTTTGTATATGATCCTGAGAGCCCTTCAGTACAGTGTGTTTCTGCAAGTCCTGACATTTATATCAGGTGCTGCTCTGTTTCTCCTTTTTAACTTATGTTCTCAGCCCTGACTATGACCAGCTTCATTTTCACCTCAGTAATCCCAGAACTGTTTTCACTCTGGTCTTCACTACTATCACATGGGCTGTCTTACTGTATTCTCCCTGGACGGTTAGGTTGTCTCACTGCCCACTTATCCTCTCCCTTGCCTCCCTTTTGGATGTTTTTGTTGCACTCCCCCTCCTAATCATCATGTTCTTCATTTCCTTCCAGATTCTGCATCACAACTGTAATTTTCAAGCAGCTGGTGAGGTCTAGGGCTGGGCTCTGAACTAAACAGATTTGTCACCTGTAATAAAATGTACTGTCTTATTTCCTCTTCTTTTCCTTCCTTATCAGCTAAATGCAGTTTCTATATAACACTTGTTCCTGCTAAGGCTAGTGTAGAATTCTCACTTCTTTTTCTGTACATTTTGCCATATTTCAGGGCACATTTTGCATAAACATATGCAGCTATTTGAAAAAATAGTGTCACATGCAGTGGATCGTCAGGTCAAATGTGAAAGCTGGACCATTTAGAGCCCTGTTCCTTTTACTAGTCTGCATATTTTTATGCTAACTGGTGAATTATTCACATCCTCAAGCTGCATTAGGATTCACTTGCAGAATTACTCTAAACCAGGGTGATGCTTTTCTTTGTACATTCTGAGACTTTTTGAGATTAGACAATTTAGTGAATAATTACATAAAATTAATGTGTTGAGAACTGTGCAGTCCCACCTGATTACCTTCTTGTCAGACAGCAAGGC